ATTCTATTGATGACAAAATTGATTTTCTTTGAAAATCAATTTGTGTCCATCTAGTGTTGACACTTAGATTTAAATTTTAGAAATAATTATTTGTTAAGCATAAGTACCAACACTAGTAGATTCTATTGATGACAAAATTGATTTTCTTTTGAAAATCAATTTGTGTCCATCTAGTGTTGACACTTAGCTTTAAATTTTAGAAATAATTATTTGTTAAATTTGTAACTATTGTGTTAGTATTAAGGTAAAACTAAACTAATTAAACTTAGAAATTTGTTAAGTTATTTGGTAAGTTAAACTTGTTACAATAGTATAAGAAATTAAATTAAGAATAAACTAGTTAGAATTAGAAAGTTGGTTAATAAGTTACATTGGTTATTATAGTGTTGGAATTAAGTCAAAACTAAACTAATTAGACTTAAAAATTTGTTAAGTTGGTTAATAAGTTAAATTTGTGACTATAGTGTTTGAATTAAGTTAAAACTAAACTAATTAGATTTAGAAATTTCTTAAGTTGGTTACTAAGTTAAACTTGTTACTATAGTATTAAAATTTAGTTAAAACTAGACTAATTAGACTTAGAAAATTGTTAAGTTGGTTAATAAGTTAAATTTGTGACTATCGTGTTAGTATTAAGGTAAAACTAAAATAATTAAACTTAGAAATTTGTTAAATTGTTTGGTAAGTTAAACTTGTTACTATAGTATAAGAAATTAAGTTAAAAATAAACTAGTTAGATTTAGAAAGTTGTTAAGTTGTTTATAAATTACATTGGTTACTATATTGTTGGAATTAAGTCAAAACTAAATTTATATTCTCATATGATAACATTCAATTTAGAATCGATATCTTCAAGCTTTGGAGGATTTACAACAAACTCTGCCGGAAGTAAATCAAGGTATGACACTTACTCAAGAACAGGATGAGAGAGGTTGGTTAGACTTGACTTGTGGGCCGAATAGATATGGATATGCATATGGAATGCCACATAAAACCTTTCGTGAATTTTCTTCTGAGTTTAAAGGCCTAAATAGTTCAAATCATGATGAATTGATGAAGAAAAATTTGGCTATGGAGAAAAAGATTGTTGAACTATCTAGCCAAGCCGAAGAATCACGGGCTAGGGAAAGGCGGTTGGAATTACAGTTTGCGGGTCTTAAGGCTCAATTCGATGCATTACTTGCTTCAGGAGGGATTCCCCCTTGTTCTGGTAATGTCACTTTCCCTCTTCGACCTCCTCAATCTCAACCTACTCAATATCCAATGTATGGTCAACTAAACTAAATTTAATAAAGTTGAAGTACAACACATATGTCATATTTTTTTATTGACCATACGTTGTATATGAGTAGGTTGAGATTGAGAAGGGAAAGTGACATCACAGAACAAGGGGGAATCCCTCCTGAAGCAAGTAATGCATCGAATTGAGTCTTAAGACCTGCAAACTGTAATTCCAACCGCATTTTTCTAGCCCGTGATTCTTCGGTTTGGCTAGATAGCTCAACAATCTTTTTCTCCATAGCCAAATTTTTTCTTCATCGATTCATTATGATTTGAACTTTTTAGGCCTTCAAACTCAGAAAAATTCACGAAAGGTTTTATGCGACATTCCATATCTACTCGGCCCACAAGTCAAGTCTAACCAAACTCTCTCATCGTGTTCTTGAGTAAGTGGCATACCTCGATTTTCTTCCAGCAGAGTTTGTTGTAAATCCTCCAAAACTTGAAGATATCGATTCTAAATTGATGGTTATCATATGAGAATATAAATTTAGTTTTGACTTAATTCCAACAGTATAGTAACTTATTAACCAACTTTCTAAGTCTAACTAGTTTTAACTTAATTTCTTATACTATAGTAACAAGTTTAACTTACTTAACAAATTTCTAAGTTTAGTTTTATCTTAATACTAACACGATAGTCACAAATTTAACTTATTAACCAACTTAACAAATTTCTAAGTCTAATTAGTCTAGTTTTAACTAAATTCCAATACTATAGTAATAAGTTTAACTTATTAACCAACTTAAGAAATTTCTAAATCTAATTAATTTAGTTTTAACTTAATTCAAACACTATAGTCACAAATTTAACTTATTAATCAACTTAACAAATTTTTATGTCTAATTAGTTTAGTTTTGACTTAATTCCAAAACTATAGTAACCAATGTAACTTATTAACCAACTTTCTAATTCTAACTAGTTTATTTTTAATTTCTTATACTATTGTAACAAGTTTAACTTAACAAATTTCTAAGTTTAATTAGTTTAGTTTTACCTTAATACTAACACGATAGTTACAAATTTAACAAATAATTATTTCTAAAATTTAAAGTTAAATGTCAACACTAGATGGACACAAATTGATTTTCAAAAGAAAATCAATTTTGTCATCAATAGGATCAACTAGTGTTGGTACTTATGCTTAACAAATAATTATTTCTAAATTTAAAGCTAAGTGTCAACACTAGATTGATACAAATTGATTTTCAAAATCAATTTTGTCATCAATAGGATCAACTAGTGTTGGTACTTATGCTTAAACAATATATTATTTCTAAATTTAAAGGTAAGTGTCAACAATAGATGGACACTAGGATCAACTTGTGTTGGTATTTAAGCTTAACAAATAATTATTTTTAAATTTAAAGCTAATTGTCAACACATATTTAAAGTTAAGTATCAATATTAGATGGGTACAACACATATTATAGAAAACAATTGTACTTCAACTTTATTAAATTTAGAATTACTATACCTTATCTCCTACTTTGATTAAATTAAAGAAGTGTATCAACTTTTTTAGATTTTGAGCTTCCTTAGTGGCCTAGCAAAAAAAAAGTTAATACTAGAAAATAGAGTTTGAACTCCAATGGTGAAAATCAAGTATTTGATCCCATGTACTAACTTATTTTCAAAGAAAATCATGTACCCTATTAAGAGTTACGAAAGCCAACTACTTTTGCAAATTATTATTGATTGGAAAATTTTTTCAATATCTATTCGACATAAATTCTTTTAAAAATTTCAAAGATAATCACATTGGGAATGATTAAATTACTAATACAACAGAGTAACATTAAATCTACTTGCTACTTTTTAATTATTTTAAGCACTTAGAATTACGAAAACCAACTAGTTTGTTCAAAAAATTCACCTGGAGTCAAAGGGTTGGGAACGCCGACCACTGCTGCTGCACGACCCGGCGAAGATAGAGGCGGCGCGACCTCCACCTGCTGATGCCCGATTGCAAATGGAGGCGGCTAGCTTTCTCGTCAGAAGAAGATGAAAGCGGAGATGGAGGCACGTCTGGAGATGGAGAATATGACGGCGGAGAGAGAAGATGGAGAAGTCTGGCGGAGAGGGACAATGAGAGAGAGAGGAACAATGAGAAAGAGAGAGATAAATTTTGCTAGGGTTTTCTTTTGTTTAAGAGACCTCATGAGGTCTCTCATTTTTTAAGTCTTAATTAAATTAAATTATTATTTTTAATTTAACAAGTACAGGCCTCGTGAGATCTCTAATTTTATGAGAATTAGATTAAAAATTTGAAATAAGTCAGGTATAGGAAAAAATAAATTCATTAAATTGATCTCACGAGGTCTCTCCTACATTAAAAAAAATATTAATTCAAATAGCGATTTCATGAGGTCTCTTATTAGAGACCTATTTTTGAGGTCTCTTTTTAGCCTTTTCTTTTAGTAGTGTATAGAAACAAACGAATAAAAAGTGATCACTTTTATTAGTACTATATGGTAAACAAATTCATAATAGTTCAATGTAATTGGAGAAAAAAAATATGAAATGTAACACTTTATTCAACATATTGTTGTGAAGGTCTACATTAAAATGATATCTAAAACACTAAGTAACTTTTTTCTTAATCCCTAACACTCAAAAATGTCAAGGATAATTGGGTGGACCTTATGATATTTTTTCGTGCCATTCTATAGATAGTTTGGGTACAAGGGAACACAAGATATTTTTATTTAAATATCTCATATGTGCAAATACATAATATATAATTGAAAAAAGAAAAGAACAAACATATGCTCGGAGCCATAAATTTTATAAGGAGTGTCTAAAAATAGCACAATAAAAACTTTAAAAAAAAAGTAGAACTAGTAATATGTAAATACACAGATACTTCCTCATTCTAAGGAGGTGAAATCATTGGATAATAACAACGTTCAAAACATGTTATTAAATCATTTTATGTATCATTTACTTGTTTATATGATATTTTTTTCGATGAAGAGTGTTCAATTTGGACATCCTAGGTTACACACTGGATATATGACTCAGGCATATTTAATTTTAATTAATTAGAATGTATGCCTTTTGATTTTTTTTAATGAATGAAATATGTTATATTACTGAATTATTTTTAATAATATATTACGCCTTAATAAGTTGCAACAATACACAACTTAATACATATCTAATTAAATGGTGAGATTGTTAATAGTTCTAATTTTTTTAGTACCCATATGTAAGTATCAAAGATGCACTTTTTAAGTGATTGAAAGTTAAAATGTACCTAGTCAAATATGAATAGGATTAAAACTAAAATACATAGATAATTGAGGAACTTAAAGTGTTATTACAATAAATATCCATTGAAATTCTACAAAAATTGAATCCCAATAAAGATTGAGTATACGTAAACTCCACTACTTCTTTCATTGCACCTATTAGATTAAGTTTTCATTATTTAATGTTATTTTTCATTCTTAGAATTTTTTATTTTTATTTTTTGTTAACAACACAACTATACAATATTTAATTACATTATAATTTGACTTGTGAATTGTATTAACAAGAAAATTGATTACATAAATCTTGTGAACTAACGAATGTACCATGAAAGCCATATGGCACTCTTTTAGGTATTTTTACCAAGGCTATTTGCTTCATATTTTTAGCATTAATTATAATTAATTCCGATTTTTCATTTCTTTCATCTCGAACATAACTCATAAGGTACCCTTCATCTTCTTCTCCTTCTTTCGTGCTCGGTACGAAATAAGGTTCACCCCCGAATCTGTCATCTCCATGTAAAAATTTCGTCACATTTCCTGTGACCAAATCGATTTTCGCTAGGCCACTACATTTTGGCCATGGTTCAGCTATAGCCATGAAGGTGTACCGAGTTTTTTCACCAAGTCTAGTCTTGTTTACTTGTCCCGCTTCTAAATTCATCCCTGATACTATAATTCGTCTGGTTGATCTTCCTGTACTCAAATTTAATCGAATTTCAGTTAGTTTAGATTTCAAAGGCTCATCACTTCCTGAAAAAATTGAGTCAGGTGGACTCATGCATGAACCTATAATCACAATGTTCATATCACCTGATTCTTCGTGATTCTCCTCCCACGCGTTCCACAAATGCATGCAAAAGCAATTAGGAACATCAATCCACTTGATTCTTGATTCGTCGTGGTCGTCTTTCGACAACACACCAAACCTAGATACTTTATTCGGGTCGTGGACTACGGGCGATCCGCGCCGTATCATCTCGGATAACTTGAATACCACTTGATAATCCGGAATGATCACGTGACTTTCCGTGATGGCAAAATCATGGATCATGGATGGGTTTTGGAGGGAGATAGAAATGTCACGTGACTTAATACCACACGTGTCAAATTTGAATAATTTAAGATAAGGTTTTTTTAATATATTATAACTCAAAGTATAAAATTCCCCTGTGATAGGGTCCACTTTAGGATGTGCTATCAATGGATCATTAATTTGTCCGTTAAAATCGTAACGTCCGTTAGACTCTAGATCGCCATCCTCCTTGATAATAACGTTATACGGAAGATCATCCTCTGACATAGCTAAAAGTCGACCGTTAAAATAAACCAAACCGGCATTTGCTACACCGGTTCCTTTAGTAGCATCCACTAACCCTAAACTCGCTCGCGCAAAAAATAGCGCGAGCCGAGCTAACCCTAAATGGCCATGTAATTCGCCAATTGGCTTAGGGAAAACCGGTCGGCCCAATGAAGCCTCTTGAACCAACCGGCTGGTTTGAGTGAACCGGCACGAGTAACTAGCTTTATTATTTTTCGAATCTAATTTAACGGCGTGAATCATACCGTCACCGTCAAATAAATGATGTCCGTTAATCGGTTTGTATAACGGGTTGGCGCCGTTTCTAACGTAGACTCCGGTTAAATTAGACGGAATGTGACCCACAACTTCAAGACCGTGCTGAACAGAGGATTCGTGAACCGGTGCAAAATTCCCTTCTAGTTGAATTTCCGGGTCAACCGTCCGGTTCAGCTTATGTTTTTTCTCTAACTTTGTTACAATTGATTTTTCTAGCATGTCCAAAGCACTGGATGCAATTTTTTGAAATAGGTTTAATTTGGGCGGGTCAATTTTTAGTGGAAATATTTTCGATTCATCTGAATTTGACGATGATTGTGACGGTGATGATGATGGTGATGACAGAGGCGGAATTCGTGTTCTAGGAAGAGTTATTGTGTTTTTTTTAGAAGGGTTGATGAGAATTTTGCAAGAAAATGAAGGAGAATTGAGGGGTTTGATAGTTTGCATGGTTGAAAAAAAAGAAAAGAGTGATTTTTGAGAATATTGTAAAATTAAGGGGGGTTATATATAGAGGTTGAAAAAATAGTGGGGGCAATAGTAAGAAAAAGTAAAAAAGTTGGGGGGCCAATTGAAAAAGTCCAGCTTAGGTTGAGAAAATAAGACACGTGTAACATTAAGCTCATGGAATTTGCATAGAATATTGAAAATATCGAAAATAGTTCTTTCACCTTATTAATAAAAATTTAACTCATAGGTCTAAACTTCGAATTCATAGAAAATTAACACATGTGGCTATATACTTTTATCTAATTCTAATTGAATCGTAAATACTTATCTGCGTCAAATATCTCATTTTGACTTACCTCAAATACTAGAGGATTTTGACGAAATTATTTTTATCCAACTCTCTAAATTATGATCATAATTATATTTTTCTTCCATCAAGTTTTATGTAAATTTAAAACTTTAAAGCCTTTACAATTTTTTTGAACTTTTTACATTTGTTATATTTAAAAATATTTTGAAATTGTTTTGTGGTTATGAATTGGAGGTACTTTTGTGCCCTTTGGCGATTGTTTTGGGGTACTTTTGTGCGGGGCTGAGCCACTTTGGTACAAGGGGTTCATTCGAACTTTTTTAATGAAAAATTATATTATTTATATATAGTTAAAATAATATTTATATATATATTAGTAGATGTCGAACTCCCTTTGATTATTTTGTATGTCTATTTCAATGAATTTTAGACCCTCTTATTGAAAATCTTGACTCTATCTCTGCTTTTGTATACGACTTAAAATGAGATGTTAATATTTTTTAGTCAAATGATTAAAAAGATCCACTCGCATGATTATAATTATTTGTATTTGTTGTCAATATATACACATTAAATAATTAGTGAAATTTCATTACCAACAATAATACAAGTGATAAGTAACAAAATCGATCAAGAATTTGGACAACTTATTTCTAATCATTGATCTAAGATTAAAGATATTTATTATCTTATTTTAAAAGGTGAAATATTACATCTCAAAGCTAAAAAAATATGTTGAGGTAAACTAGAATTTACTCTATTAATTACATAAACTATATACTTAATTTTGAAGGACATAAATAGTCGCTTCTAAGTTTATCATTTAATTTATAATAATAGCTAAAATATTTTACAAGTTTATTTATTATCTTTAAAGAAAACTTTAAAAATATACATCTAATATTAAATATTTTTGTTTGAAGAGTGATTCTACTTGTGAATGTCAAATATCAAATAATTAGTAGAAGTTCAATATGATTTGTCAATATCAAATTCAAATATTTGTGACCAACTTTCTTCCATAATTATAATGCTACCTATTTTTATTGAATCAATTTGTATTAAATTATTATGCTTCTTTTGATATAATTTTATTTGTTATTTGATTTATTAAGATTTTAAAAATTAACTTATATATATATATATATGTCATTTTTCTATATTTTTTTCTATGATTTATAATTGTTTTAACAAAAAAATTTCAAATATATAATGACTTATCAGGATCAACTCTTGATATTTTTACATTAAAGTTACAACCTCGACAAGATTGACCTAAACATAAACATATTCAATTTTTAAATATGCAAAATATACACTTATTAATTTACATAAAATAGAATAAAATGAATATTTTCCCAAGTATAGTAGGATGTTGTAGATAAATATAGTAGATAAAATCGACAAGATCCTTTGCCTATTTTGTGGTCAATCACAAGTCATAAAATGGGATTTGCCACGTGAATTAGCATAAGTGTCAACGTGGGTTTTTATTGTCATTTTGTGATGAAACTTTTGATTCAAAGGTTTGGGTACAAGTTTCCAAAATCAATATAGGAAACTCACGTAAATGTGTTTTTTGATATAGTTGTTGACAGGAGATGATATGTATCTGATAGAATATTTTAAGGTATATTTTTTTTTATTTATATTTATTTACTTAAGTTTGATATACTTATTTGTATATGTTGTTAGTGGCAGATGTCGAGATGACATGTATCTTGTAAAATATCTTAATATATATATTTTTTTGTTTTTGATTATTTGTCAACTTTTAAATTCACACATTTATTAAGAAAATAATTATTGACATGACGAGTTTATCGTTTTACTCCTATTAATTACTCACTCCGCTTATTTTAATTGTCATAGTTTCTATTTTTAGAGTCAAACTACAAGAATCTTTGACTAACATTTTAAGATGTATTTTTTTCATCTGCGAAAAATTGCAATTTATTATACTTTTCATATAGTTTTTGAATATTTAAATTTTTTTATTTTAAAATATCAAATTAAATGTAAGCTAATTCAGCTATGAAAATTAATCAAATTAATTTTCCAATAGTGCAACATGAAAAATAAAAATGGACGGAGGGAGAATAAAATGGATGAATTAAAAACTCAAAATTTTCAACAAGTTTTAACTTTTTCAAAGTTAATTATGGATGTAATTGGTAAAAAAAAATTGATCTTTCTAGATTTGTTGAAATTGACAAATAACTACGAACAACTAAAAGAAGAAAAATAAATAAATTTCGTGGACAAATAGAATACTCTCTTTGTTCATATATAATTGTTTGTCTGTTACTTGACATATATCTTAAGAAGCAATTAAAAATGTACTAATAAAAGTATTCAAGAGTACATCAAAACTTCGCTTAGTTAATTTCTATTTCAATTTATTTTATAAGATATTTTAACAATAAATAATAATTTATATGTGTTTTTGACAATTAAATCAATGGATAACGATGAATTCGAACTTAATTTCGTACTTATTTGCCGGGTGAGATATTTGTTGCCCTCTTGCCCTGTCACAAAATAAATACCACGTGTCAGTGTAAATTATAATTTTTTTTTAAAAAAAATTCTCCTTTAAAATATAAAAATTAATTAATGTAACACCAATAAATAAATAATTTGGAGGGGGAATAATATACAAGTCCCAATACTTGAGTTTTGTCCATTACCTAAATTGCTATTTCTCATAAACTGACAAATAAGTCTTTTCATTTTGAGTTTAGGTAAACATATATTTGTATCTTGTGTGTTAAATATTTTAATTTTGATCATAAAGAAAGTTAGATAATAATTTTTTTCCTTAGATAAAATCAATATATTCAAGATTTATATGAAAATAATATTAATTATTATCATAAATAAATTATACTAATATATGAAATATATAAATAATTAATAATAACAAATAGATTGTTTGATTTTCAAAATTTAAAATACGCAGAGGATGAAGTCACGATTTTTTGAACATGTAGTGTCTATAAACATTTCTCGAAGTGTATTGATACAATGTACATAGTATTTTTTTCTATCTTTTGTTTTCTATTCGGTGTTTGGTCTCTTTATTGGAGTTAAATTATTTCAAATTTGTGTTGGTTTTTGTTTTCCTTCTGAGAAAATGCTCTCTATAAAAGATTTTTTTTCATATCCAAAGCTTGAATTCGAGACCTTTAATTAAGAAAGAACAACTTCGTCCCTCTACATTCAGCGGTGGTGTACTACATTAAATATTCATCCATTATAATATAATTATGCAATATTTAATATTGTTCACGTGGGCACATATATACCTTTAAAATATACTATTAAATAATATGGAGAATAAAAAATCTTTTTCAAAGTTTAATATCCTAACAACAATTAACCAGAATTCAAATATATTTCAAACTTTTTTCCCTATTTTGTAAAGTATGCTTGGTAAATTATTTTGTAAAGTATGCTTGGTAAATTATTTAGTTCAGCAAGAAAAAGTTACTAAAGCGTTTTTAGCAAATTTAATTTTTCTATAGTTCATCACTAATATATAATATATGTGACTAAGTGAGACTAGATACAAATGATTTTTTTTTTGTAGTAAAAATAGTTAATATAAATATTTCATCGATTAATCTGAAAATATAAATCATCAAAAGAAAAATTAGTTGAGATGAATATATAAACTAATTTTTCGATGTGTGTACCTTGTAATTGTTAGCGCAGAAAATAAATATTCAATATTTCAAATTAATGATTTTAATTTTTGAAATTTTTCCAACATTTTTCTGACATATCAAATATTTTACCTTGATAAGTTACGATGTATCTACATTAGAGTTGATTAATTTAGGGTTTAAATTTTCTAATAGAATAACTAAAGAAAAATCTATCAAAAGAGAAAAAAAATAGTTTTACAAAGATATCGTTTTATTAAATAATTTGAATTTCTTTTTAGAAAAATAAGTTAAATTCTTAAAAATTAGAAAAATGACATTTTTAATGAAAGCAGAGAAAATATATTCTCACCCATACCCCTTTCCATTTTCATAGTACATATTTCTCTATATTACGTATAAATATTGTTGAGATAATATATTTTTATTTATTTATCCATCGTTATAAAATAACTAAAACTTACTAATTTTTCTATTAAAATATTTTTCTTCATACCGTTTTAAAATGGTAAAATTATTTTAAAATATTATTTTTAAGCTAAAGTAATTGTTAATTTGTGACCGATGTGATGTATGTACGTACGCCTGTTTTCATGCTAATTATATTTGGTCTGTGTAAGCACTCTTACAACATTGAAATCATCTGAAGTAAACTAACATTTTGAAATATTTTCTTCGTCTCAATTTATATATATATATTTTTTTTAAAAATATATTGCGTTCTCATTTTTTAAAAAGTAAATAAATTTAAACACCTATTTAATAAGGCTATGACATATGGACATGCGGTGAGTATCGTGGTTTCTTCAAGAAATATATACATATATTTTCGTTCTCTTGTCTTCCGCCTTTCGAATCTCGCTCGTCGCTCTCACTTTTCTCTCACTTTATATAAACACAAATGTATCCATTGTGTTTGTGTTTGTATTTACAAATACAACTGCATATATTTTCGTCTTATACACTTAATATTATACAAATACGATTTTTCTCTACCCATTTTTGTTTTGTCTTCCTCTTTTTCTCGCTTTATACAAAACAGATTATACAATTGATTATTTTGTATATGTATGCCGAAACAGATTATATAATTGCTTCTTTTGTATATATGTACAACGAAATAGTCATAGCTTTCCTTTGTATATGTATAGTGAAATATGTATATTTATGTTTGTTGTAGAGCGCAATTATGCAAATTATAGTATACTAATATGATTTTGTGTTT